TTTCTAAATAAATGAAAAAGCTTATAACAGTTTATGAAGCCCTAAAGAACCCTGGATTTTCTCTCTCTGTAATGAACTAACCCGCCCAGTCAATGGCAACAGGCCGAAAGGCACGAGGATTGTCTGTGTCCTCTTGCACTCCCATTACCGCTAGAAAAAGGTGGCCCGAGGGGCCAGAGGAATTAATGACTTAATGCCTACAAAGCTCTAGGAATAACTTGCTGTAGATAAGGTCTCATTATCGTTAATTGTTATTATTATTGTTATTATTGTTATTAACTCAACTCATATGAAAAGCTGCCGCAGCTTTGTTAACCACCTCAGGTCAGGGGTTTAATTAATACCTCCTCTGAATGCCAGAGGCCCCAGGCGCCATGTTCCCGCCCCCACATCCGGGCTCCACCTCCTCTGAGCTCCACCCACAGGGTCCTCTCCACCCCCAGTCTTCGTAGTCCTCACCTGAGCAGGTCCATCTTGCTTCGCCGCGGCCAACACCCCAGCCCTGAACCCCCTCTTGTCCCTTGACTGCCCCTCCCCATAATCTCACATACCTCCTTGGACCTTGCCTTCCCTTTCCTGCAGTTCCCTAGCCCCCCAACACCCTTCTTTTGGCACCCAAACAAGAGCCAGGATTCTGGAGGGTTATGAAAGGAGAGGGTCCCCTGACCCCCCCCACCACAACCACCCCCCAACTTCTCCCTTGCAACCCTCGCTTCCTGCACTGCGTCCCGGGTCTCCCATCCCACCTCCGTGAGAACCTCAGGATTGTTCCTCAGGTGGTGAGGCCGGTCCGGTGGGTCGTCTGGTTTAGGGTTACGGAGTTTGGCACTAACTCACAGCCCAGTACAGCTGCCTTCTTTAATTAATTAATTCCAATTTTTTTAAAAACCATCACTTCAATTGGACCTCAGTGCATGCCTCTGGGGCACATGTCACATCAATTACAGACAACAATTAAGCATGCGGCCTCAAAGAATCTGTGAGCCTCTTTAAAGACTCAAACACAATTTGGACCTAACTGCCTTAGATCCCTTTGCTGGAGACAGACCCTGAGGCAGAACCCCCAGGGGAGGTATTGGGCTGCTATAGTTCGTCATAGGAGGATATTCTGCTGGGGTTCCTGCCCTCAGCTGCCCACATTCCCTAATCCCAGGGTCCTCTCTGCCTTCGCTTAGATACACAGAAGCTAAGCTGCTGCAGGTGGGGTGGTGGCCTTGCTTCTCTGGAATAGTACCAATGTCCCTCAAATTCCAAATCCACCTCTGCGCTCTCCTAACTGGCTGTCTTGCATGGATAAACATGAATCTCAGGCACTCTAACAATAGGATGGGCACTGAGTTGATCTGTCCTTTTCCCATCAGTAGAGGTCGTAGGGGCAGAATGAATGGAAGCTTTTGCAGTGGTTTGCTTTAGGAAAAGGGTTGAAGATGTCACTGAAGGGCAGAGATGACTTCATAATGACGGTTCTTGATTCCCACCTTGTGTGACACTCGGTAGTTGTTCCGGGAACGGTGACACACTGTTGAAGACACGGAACCGAAAGAGCAAAAGAGCGTGCAGCACAACTACAGTATTTTTCCATGTGCAAAGTAGGCAGAGGTGGGCCTGGCTGAAGACCTGCGCCTCATTAACATTGCCCTCTCTACTAATAGATTAAAAAAAAAATTAGTACACCAGGTAAACACGGCTTTCCTTACCTATTTAACTCATTTATTTACTAGCATATGTGAATTGACTATGAATCACTTTGTCCTTTTATGTTTGCCGGAATTGTGGCTGTCCATTTAAGTCCAAACTTCCAGAGAGCAGAGACCACATCTGTTTAATTTGCATTGTATGGTATCCAGCAAAGGGCTGCAGCACCATGTCACAAAGTCCGGGACTTGGATCCTGGAGACCCAAGTCTGGCCATTTGACCCTTAAAATCCAGACCTCGTTCTTATTTGCTGTTTAAAAAAAAAAAAAAGGGACGCCTGGGTGGCTCAGTTGGTTAAGCGTCTGCCTTCGGCTCAGGTCAGGATCCCAGGGTCCTGGGATCGAGTCCCACATTGGGCTCCCCGCTCAGCGGGGACTCTGCTTCTCCCTCTCCCTCTGCCTGCCGCTCCCCCCTGCTTGTGCTCTCTGACAAATAAATAAATAAAATCTTTAAAAAAAAAATGGGCAGGGGAGGGGTGCCTGGGTGTCTCAGTGGGTTGGGTGTCTGCTTTCAGCTCAGGTCATGATCCCGGGGTCCTGGGATCGAGCCCCGCAGCGGGCTCCTTGCTCAATGGGGAGCTTCTCCCCTGCTTGTTCACTCTCTCTCTCTCTCTCTGACGAAAAAATAGATAAATAAAATCTTATAAATATCTATATATTAAAAAAATAATTATAAAATGCATTTTGATGAGAGACCATAGCTGCAGCAGGCTGTGAGCCCAATGATGGCCTCAGGCCATGTTGCAGCTGAAACCAAGCTTTGCCCAAAGGGACACTGGCTATCCCAATAGCCTCCCTCACCTCCATCCCCAATGCAAAACAGCTGCATTCATGGGTCTGGCCTTTTAGGGTGTGTTCTCTTTTTCTTCTAGGATATCCTGGCATTTATCTCGCCTCTTCACTAGAATTCAAGCAGGTGTGGTGGGAGGTGAGGGGTCACAGAGCGAAAGTGCCCTTGACCCATATCCCTTTAAGACTGGACAGAAACATACATACACACCGCATGAGGGCACATATGCATGCAAGCCCTATGACAGAAAAGCCTGAAGTCCATCTTTCTGAGTTGTCTCTACACACCGTCACTTAGAGAAGTGAATAAAACAGGAGAGTCCGGGCCAGCTTTATCCATTCTGTGAAGGGGGCAGCTTCTTATAGGAAAGGCTCAGAGATAGGAACTGGTTAGTGATTCTCAGCAAAGGAATGGCATTGTAAGATATTAGTGAACAAAGTCAACTTTCTAGAATAGAATCCTAGGTATCAGATCTGGAAGACTCTAAGAGCCAGATAATCCCGTCTTTTTTGCAAAGTCTAAAAGGTGAAGGGATTGAGTAAAGGTTGCAGCACAGCAGGTATGAGAACCTAGGAGCCCATGACCAGGGCCCTGGCCCCAAGTCTGCTGTGCGAGAAGCGGCTTAGATTAATGAGGGGACAGAGAGCCACAGCCACCACCCCTATTTTTTTTTCTCTTTTTTTTTTTTATTCTTATGTTAATCCCCATACATTACATCATTAGTTCTAGATGAAGTGTTCCATGATTCATTGTTCGTGCACAACACCCAGTGCTCCATGCAGAACGTGCCCTCCTCAACACCCACCACCAGGCCAACCCATCCTCCCACCCCCCTCCCCTCTAGAACCCTCAGTTTGTTTTTCAGAGTCCATCTTCTCTCATGGTTCGTCCACCCCTCCGATTTCCCCCGCTTCATTCCTCCCCTCCCGCTACCTTCTTCTTCTTTTTTTTTCTTAACATATCTTGCATTATTTGTCTCAGAGGTACAGATCTGAGATTCAACAGTCCTGCACAATTCCCAGCGCTTAACAGAGCACGTACCCTCCCCAGTGTCTATCACCCAGTCACCCCATCCCTCCCACCCCACCCCCCACTCCAACAACACTCAGTTTGTTTCCTGCAATTAAGAATTCCTCATATCAATGAGATCATATGATACATGTCTTTCTCTGTTTGACTTATTTCACTCAACATAATACCCTCCAGTTCCATCCACGTCGTTGCAAATGGCAAGATCTCATTCCTTTTGATGGCTGCATAATATTCCATTGTATATATATACCACATCTTCTTTATCCAGTCATCTGTCGATGGACATCTTGGCTCTTTCCACAGTTTGGCTGTTGTGGACATTGCTGCTATAAACATCGGGGTGCACGTACCCCTTCGGATCCCTACTTTTGTATCTTTGGGGTAAATACCCAGTAGTGCAATTGCTGGATCATATGGTAGCTCTATTTTCAACTTTTTGAGGAACCTCCATACAGTTTTCCAGAGTGGCTGCACCAGCTTGCATTCCCACCAACAGTGTAGGAGGGTTCCCCTTTCTCCGCATCCCCGCCAACATCTGTCGTTTCCTGACTTGTAAATTCTAGCCATTCTGATTAGCCACCACCCCTATTTAAGTAGAGGTGGTAAGAACTATCAGGGACTGTGGGTACATTCCTGGAAGCTTGGGGAGTGAGGAAATGCAGTGAACTGGGAGCTTGTATGAGGCCGTTTAAGAACCAGATATATCTGCTGCTGTTTAAATGAAATCTTTGAAGATTTTCAGAACCGTCAAAGTGTGCAGAACTTTAGACTAAAAGTATTTATTTATTTATTTGAGTATAGTTGACAAACAATGTCACACTAGTTTCAGGGGTACAACAGAGCGATTCGGCTTCTTGCTGCCTTATGCCGTGCTCACCAGGAGTGTAGCTACCACCTGTCACCATATAATCCTATTATAATATCACTGATTATATTCCCTCCGCTGTGCCTTTTACTCCTGTGACTTATTCATCCCATCACTGGGAGCCTGTACCTCCCACTTCCCTCCCCCCATTTTGTCCAACCCCACGTTTCTTCCCCTCCAGCAACCATCAGTCTGTTCTCTGCATTTGTAGGTCTGATTCTGCTTTTTGTTTGTTTATTCATTTGTTTGGTTTTTTAGATTCCACTTCTAACTGATATCATATGGTATTTGTCTTTCTCTGACTTAGTTCACTTAGCATAATACCCTTTAGGTCCCTCCTTGTTGTTGTAAATGGCAAGATCTCATCCCTTTTTTTATGGCTGAGTAATATTCCTGTGTGTGTGTGTGTGTGCGTGCATGCAAATGTGTGTGTCCACTAAACCTTTTTTTTAAATGGCTTCTGTGGGGCGCCTGGGTGGCTCAGTCAGTTAAGCGACTGCCTTCGTCGGCTCAGGTCATGATCTCAGGGTTCCTGGATCAAGCCCTGTGTCGGGCTCTTTGCTCAATGAGGAGTCTGCTTCTCCCTCTCTCTCTGCCACTCCCCCGGCTCATGCTCTCTCCCTCTCTCTCTCTGTCAAATAAATAAATAAAATCTTTTTTAAAAATGGCTTATACTGGGTTTTGTCCACTGCCTTAATGAAGAAGTTAGTGAAGAACTATCCAAGGCCAGGAAACCAGGTTGACAGAAGCCCGATCTTCCAGTGAGACCAGCTGTGGGTGCTAAATGGTGCTTGCAAAAAAAAAAATTAATGGTGCTTGCATTGACTGTCAGTTGTAATGCCAGCCACTGAAGAAGGGGGCATGGGCTTAGCAGTCTGATTGAGAGCGGAGGCCCTCTTCTTATGACATGTCGAGAGAGGACACTGGTCTGCAGCCCCTGCTGTGGGTAAATACATGAAAGGGAAGAGTTAAGAGAGAGCAGAGCAACTGGGATCTCCTTGCTAAGTCCTGCGGCCCAAGGCCTTCCAAAGTACTGGTCACCGAGGCCTCAGAAACACAGGGGCAAGTCCTAGGGTCCTGAAGAGAAGAAAAGGGGAAAACACATGAAAGAAAGGAGATGCAGGTGTAGAACTGAATTATTCTCTATCACGTGCCAAGGCTACCTGTTTTTACCCACAGGAATATGTAGCAGTCTTTCAGAGTCAAACCCTCCATTGTTTTCTAGGTTGAGTGATTGACTGGGCCATTAAGCGTTCCTTGGCCCAAATTTCCTTCATTGGGAATAATACCTGTCCTGCCGGCCTCACAGCGTTGTTGGAAGATCTCATGAGATAATGGACATAACTTCCCTGCAGAAACCATAAAGCACTCCTCAAGTGGAAGGCAATAATATTACTGTTCTAATTACTAGGAGCCCTTCAGAGGGCTGGCCTGTGGGTGGAGAGTCATAGACACTTGGAAGGTTACCTTGCTTCTTTAGCCATCGCTCTGCACACTGGTCTTCCAAGCTGGATTGCCCTGAAAGGCAGAGTAGGGAATGGATTAAATGTCCTAGAAGAGCAAAACTAGACATCTCAGTCAGATGTTCGGGGCTCATCAGCCCCCGTGGAGGCCAAGTTCTTTCTTACATTAAATCTTTTTTTTTTTTTTTTAAGATTTTATTTATTTGTTTGTTTGTTTTAAGTAATCTCTACACCCAAGGTGGGCTCAGGGCTACAACCCTGAGATCAAGAGTCACATGCTCCACCAGCTGGGCCAACCAGATGCCCCTAAGTCTTTCCTTTTATTATTTATGCATGCTTATTTCCTCCTGCTCTGCCTGAAGATTTTCTCTCTACCTGCTGAATTACGATGTCACCTTTAGTGTTTATCCACTGAAGACGCTCACTGCTGAGGAACACAACCCAAAGGTGCCAAATTACACTCCCTGGAATGTGGAGTCCAAGTATAATAAAGACTGAGCATTTGTTTTCAGAAGGTGCCAAGGACAGGGCTAGCCCTGGAACCCTTTTGTGTATCAAGTTTCAATCTCTTCCCCTAACCCTATCCCAGATTCAGGCCATTTTACTTGCTATAGGGACTTTTTTCCAGGGGTGGGGGGAGAGGGAGGGGTGGCTGTTTTGGAGAGAAGTAGCTGCATCTGTATTGAAAATGTGTAAAGAGATAGGTCTTAATGCAAAGGCATTTGTTAAGTGTGCTTTTAATAATGGAAGGAGGATGAGGAGCTCCAATGGAGATAAGATTTGGGAAACATCAGGGAAGTTTGGTTTATCGTGGGAAAGGGTCATCCTGACCCTCCAAGTTGCTGTCTTGGGTCCTCTCCTCCCTAGGCCTTTACCTTGCCTGCCTCACTTCCTCTCTCTGTATGCCAAGCCCTTGCAATTATGGACACCCTCTCTTGGCTCGGAGCTTGGATAAATGCTACCTTGTTAGCTAATAGTACCATTAATTATATTAATGATTAATAGCTAATTAGTCATAATGCTGTAATATTTTCAATGGAGGCTTCCTTTCTTGCAGCAGTTCAATGTCTCAAGCACACACACATGCTCTATTCCTGGCCACAGAACAAACGCCGCTCTAAATTTGTTTTTCTGACCATTCTGGCAATCTCTAAATTTCTCCAGGTTTTATTAGCTGTCCCATTTATCTGGTGACTGACCACTACTGCTTATATTTTGCCTCCTTTATTTCTGTCCTCTGTCACTCACCCTACCCTCCAGTAACAGAGGCCTCCAGGAACAGAGGCCACGGGTTCTTTTTTAATTTTATTTCATAAGCCAAAGGCTCCTTTACTTCTAAGTCTCACTTGGGCCCACTTTCCTACTTCGGCCCCTTTTCTTCACTTTACCTTTCCTTAATCCTAACCCGCCCCTACTTCGGGGAGGCTCACACCCTCCGCCCCAGGCTCCCTCCTACTCTGCGTTTTGGCTTCCTTTCAGCAACCACGCCCCCAGACCCAGGGAGAGCGGTGCGCACGCGCAGTCCACGCCTTTACCTGGGCGTTCGGCAGTGGGCGGAGTGGGGGAAGGCGGGGGTGGAGCGGGAGTCGGCGGTTATCTGGGCGGCGGGGCGCTCACGTTGTGGCGGCGGGGAGGAAAGGTGCGCCAGGGCCTGCCCGAGGGGCTGCGCATGCGCGCCGCCGCGCCCAGCGGCCGGGATGCCAGGGGGGCGG